TGTGATACGCAGACATACTTGCAGGTAAAATACCCAGACACATAAAATAATTTTTTTTTAAGTCAAAGAAGGAACTGGGCATGTGGCGTCATTGGTAGAGTGCCTGCCTACCATGAATGAAGTCCTAAATTTGATCCCCGGCACCGCGGAGGGAGGCATGGTGGTGCACACCTGTGTTCTCAGCACTTCCGAACGTGTGCCATGGTGTGAAAGAAAATGGCCTCCCAAGGGAAGGGCGCTATCAGGAGGTGTGGCCTTGTTGGAGGAAGTGTGTCACTGTGGGGGCGGGCCTTGAGGTCTTTTGCTCAAGTTTCCCTCAGTGTGACTTTCAGTTGACTTCCTGTTGCCTGCAAGATGTAGCCCTCTCAGCTCCAGCACAACATCTGCCTGCACACCGCCATGCTCCCCGCCATGATGATAATGGACTGAACCTCTGAAACTGTAAACAAGCTGCCCCAATTAAATGTTTCCTTTATGAGAATTGCTGAAGTCATGGTGTCTCTTCGCAGCAATGAAAATCCCAACTAATACAATGTGGAAAGATCAGAAGTTCAAGATCATCCTTCGCTGACAGGAGATTCAAGGCCAGCTTAGGCTACGTGAGATCGTCTATTGAAAACCAAATCAATAAATAAAGCATGTCTATTTTACCCACTATGTCCAGGATACTATTTTGCAATCATGCTTTTTCTGATGCAATCTACTTTGCATTCATCACACTGCCAACAGCTACCACATTCACTAAGAGCACCAAGCATCATAGTAGCTTTTAGACATGATGGCCTAAAACCAGCTTGAATGAACATGAGCCGAAGGGAGGATCGATGAACCGCAGCCCGTTCCGAGTGAGATATATACATGCACCAACTCACACACTGTTGAGTGGATACAAACCAAAAGGAACTAAATGGGATTGACTGGACAGGGCACAAAGGAACTCCGGGACCCTAGAAACAACTTGTCCTCACCTTCTGGAGGCCACTGGGATATGTGCCTAAGTGAGAGAGGGGGGCACTCTATGCTCCAGACTTGCATGCATTTGTTATATTCCAAAGGTAATAATGGGGAGGGCGGGAGCGGGCTTGCATGTGAGACATCAGAGACCCTGGAACTGGAGTTACATGTGGTTATGAGCCTGGTGTGGGCACCGGGAACTGAACCCAGGCTAGCTTTCTTATGTGGACTGAGGATTAGATTCTCAGGCATGGTCAGGCAATCATTTTACTAAGCCATCTACCTGCCCTCCAAATAATCTTTTAAAATACGTCATTTTATTGTGAGTGTCTGTATGTGTATGTGCATGTGTGTATGAGTACCCACAGAGGCCACTAGAGGGCATTAGACCTCCTGTGGTTGGGGTTACCCTGTGTAGCTGCTAGGAACCTGACTCTAGAACCTCTGGAAGAGCAGCAAGCATTCTTCACTGCTGATCAGCCTCTCCGGCCCCCAAAAGGTAATGATGTTGAATTATCTCTCAGTGTGTTGCTTCATCTCAGACTAGTTCAATCTGCATATCTGAGAGTGGGCCGCAAGCATTTGGTAGATTTCATAGTATGTCAAATCTATAGCCAGCATGAACCTCCACAGCCCTGGGAGAGTACTCAAACTTTGATGATGAGCAAAGGAACAGACTCTGAAACATTAACATGAAGATAAAGAACCAGGTACAGTGGCCTGTGCTCATGTAGGCCCAGTTACTTGGGAATTTTGGTACCCAAGCACCCATAGAGAGCAGAGCTTGGATCCCAGAAGACACAGGTTCAAGGCCAGGCTCAGTTGATTCTGAGCCTAGTCCCTACCTCACCAGAGGTTACCAGGATCCCACACGGAAGTGAAGAAAGGCCCCCAGTTAGACTAGCACCATCTGTTAGAATCACTGGCCCACTTCCTCAGAGATGCTTCCTGAAGGCTCTGGGTTTGTCTCAGCTTTGCAGCCCCCAGCAGGCTTGGCGTACATTCATGGACACTTGGTGGAGAAACCCACAGCAGCAGTCAGATGCCTTTCCTGTCATCCTGCCAGGGAGACCAGAGAAGACAAGAACTCCATCCCAAGCTCAGGTAGGAAATACCAGCCTTCCTTGCCCAGGGCACCAGGGCTTCTCCAATGCCGTCTGTCTCCACCAGATGTCAGCTGGGCCTACTCTGTCAAGAAACAGCCAAGATCTCAGAGCACTCTCTTTGTAACGATACATTAAGAGGAATCTTCAGTTGGCCCTTGTCTGTGGAACAGACTAGCCCCAAATCAAACCTGGCAAGTTCATCAACAGTCACCTTCATTTAAAATATATAGGTAAAAGCTGGGCAGCGGTGGCACACACCTTTAATCCCAGCACTTGAGAGGTAGAGGCAGGTGGATTTCTGTGATTTCAAGGACAGAGCACTGGAACTGGTCTACAAAACAGCCCGATTTGTTACACAGAGAAACCGTCTCAAAAAACCACATATAGCCGGGTGGTAGTGGCGCACACCTTTAATCCCAGCACTCGGGAGGCAGAGGCAGGTGGATCTCTGTGAGTTCGAGGCCAGCCTGGGCTACAGAGTGAGTTCCAGGACAGGCTCCAAAGCTACACAGAGAAACCCTGTCTCAAAAAACCAAAAAAAATACAACCCATATGTGTGTGTGTGTGTGTGTGTGTGTGTGTGTGTGTGTGTGTGTATGGCTATTGTATGGTGTGTGCATCCAGGAGGCACTAATGTCACAGCACATGTATAGAGGTCAGAGGACAAGTGTTGGACCCCGAGACAGGTAGGTTTGCACACTGCTACACCAGGCTAGCTGCCCCAAGAGCCTCTGGGGATTGTGGTCTCCTCGTCCCATCGTGGGCACACTAGGATTACAGATGCACACTACAGCATCCAGCTCTATGTGGGGTCTGGGATCCAAACTTGGGTCTTCCCATTTGCCCTTGCACTGAACCATCTTCCCAGCCCATTACCTCCAGAATGAGAATTATGGGAACAGAGAGAGCAGGGAACTTGCCCAAGTCAAGCAGAATATGGTGCAGATGGCCCTGTGGTCAGAGTTCTGTCTCCAGGGAAAAGGTTGGGGGCTGTGGTGGTTTGCATAGAATGGCCCCATAGGCTAATAGATTTGAATGTTTGGTCACTAGGAAGTGGAGCTACTTGACAGGGATTAGGAGGTGTGGCCTTGTTGGAGTCACTGGGAGTGGGTTTGGGGATTTCAAATACCCAAGCTAATCCCAGTGGTTTACCGTCTCTTCCTGATGCCTGCCCATCTGGATGTAGAACTCTCAGCTACCTCTCCAACATCATGTCAGCCTGAGTGGTGCCATGCTTCCCACCATGACAATAATGGACTTAAACCTGTGAAACTGTACACCAGTCCCAATTAAATGCTTTCCTTTATAAGAGTTGCTGTGGTCATGCTGTCTCTTCACAGCAATAGAACGTACTGAGACAGGTAGGTGCCTAGACCACCGCCGCCAAGCAGGCTGAGCTAGAGCAGATCACATGACACACAAACCCCATCTTGGTGGCTTATGACAGTTCTGTTTCTCACCCCTACCTCCATCAAGGGTTAGCTGAGCGTGGCTGACACTGAGCAGGAGGAAAGTCTGAACTGCTCTTCTAACTATGGTCCTTGTGACACATGCCACCTCTTCCTCCATAGGCCAGAAGGGGCCCTAAGTCCAAAAGGGGCTGAAGGGCACATTTTTGTTGTGGAGCGGACAGAATTCTTGGCAAGGGACACCCAGCTAACAACGCTGCTGCCTGGCAGGTCAAGAAGACACACACGTTCTCCCACTGAAGGCTCTTCTGTCCTGACAACAAAAAATTCAGTCTAAAGGTGAGTCAGATGAAAACTCAAGAGCAGATGTGTCAGACACAGGTGTGCAGTGAAGATCACAGCTGGATCAAAATACATTTTATGTTGACTTTATTATTAAAGGCATGTGGTGGTGGCACACACCTTTAGTCCCAGCATTTGAGAGGCAAGTGGATCAGAGTTCGAGGCCAGCCTGGTCTACAGCGTGAGTTCCAGAGCAGCCAAGACTACAGAGAAACCCTGTCTTAAAAAACCAAAAAGAAAAAAAAAAATCTTTTTTTTTGGGGGGGGTGGCTCTTGGAAAAGCACTCACCCTTTGGCTCACTGTGGGAAGTTCTCTATACCCGCTGTGCCTAATCTTGTTTTACCTTAAGCCTGTGATGGCTACAAGTGACCAGTTCTCAGGAGCTGGATGCTGATCCTGAGTAACCAAAGCTGTACTTGCTTACAGCAATAACCCCAGAATCCAGGCTCTGCTGTAACCAGCCATACTGACTGTCTCTTTGGGTTCAGGGGACACTAACTCCTGCATCGAACTGGAAGGAACTGTAGCATTGCAGCCCAGCCCTTCCATCCCCAGCAGTCAAGATCTCTTCTCCCATATGCTTCTGGTTCATGCTAAGATGTTCCTTGACGTAATCCCACTAGTAAGTCAGAGGAGTCTCAGGTGAGCTTGTCTGGAAAACTCCAGAAACCTTCTCCTTTGCAGAGTGACTGAAGAGCACATGCCCTTCATGATTGGCCCTCCAACCTGCTTTCCCTCCCCAATTCCCAACCATGTCCTACAGAACCATCCTCCTCCAATGATGAGACCTTAAGATCTGAGAGCCCAAGAGTCTACCTCCCCCCTGACCCTGCGGCTTTGGCCCAAGGAGTCTGTCAACACTCTGTCCATCCCAAGGGAAGCACTCTGATTCAGTCACAAGGACTGTGGAGCCCTGTGCCTCTCCAACCCCCACCTTCTGTATCCTCCCCTACGCCAGACCCTGTACTCTCTGAATGCAGAAGCCAGAGGAAGCTTGGCCACCACCCAGAGGGGTAGGATGAAGGGAAGAGCTGGCCAAAATGCCTTCCAAGATCATGCGGTCTTCTTTTATCAGGGTCTTCGGAGAGCCACAGCTGGACCCTCTACAGACCACACCACTCACAACCACCCTCCTCAATCCCTACCCCCAAATCTTTGCCACAACGAAGAAAAATGGACTCAAAGATATAGTTTATACAATTCAAGATTTATGTAAGTCCAAGATACTTAAGTTATTCTTAAATTGCACAATGCTAAAGACAGTCTATAAAAGAGTCAAACACACCATTGCAAGATAATTCAACAAGTTTTTTTTTTTTTTAAATAAATGTGTACAGAAAAAAAAAAAAATCCCCAAATGGCAACCTCCTCATACAACTTCGTGTCTGTGCACAGGAAGCCGCAGGAGCCCTGGCTGGGCAGCGGGGCAGCAGTCCCAGTCTGTGGGATGGATTTTCTATTGCCGGGTGAAGAATGTGGAAGAGTTTTGAGTTCCCTTTGTTCTCCAGTGTATCTTGTACAAAATATTACATTTTTAAACATATATTTACAGAGTTTGCACAAATAGAAAATGATTATAAATGACAACCAGGCTTGGCAAGATACTAGCGCCCCCTCCCCGACTCAGAGGTCAGGTGTGATGACTGTTCCATATTTACATCTATGTTTAAAAATTAGTCTGAGCTCCTAGACCCCTGGAGGAAGTATATAAAAACTGGCTAAACACCAACAATTCATCCATATGAGCTCTACAGGGATCGATAATAGTCAGTCCAGTCTCACTCCCTGAATAAAGACGGAATAGACCCTCTCAGCCAGCCCCACGCCCGCTTTGGCCTGCCTGCTGCAGCGTGTGGGGTTTGGGTGGAATGGGAACAGGACAACCTGGTGAAGAGACCTTCCTTCCAACAGCCTCCAGCTGGGCTAAGGCTTTGAAAAGAACCCATGGCTCCTCGGGGAGGAAGCGTCTTTTTCGCAGGACTACAGAACGGAGGAAAGAAGACTCGAGAACAATGTTTGTTACTCTGATGTTAAATCTCTGTCCTGAGTGCCAAGCCCAATCTAATACAGTGCAAAAAAGCCTGGTGTAGCCCAGGGAGCCGAGGTCAGAGGTTGGTATAGTAGCTGTCCACCCACTGTGCAAGGCCTCGTTCCACCAGCGACCGGTTTATCAGCACCACCTGGAAACAGAGTGTTCGTGAGAGTTCTGCATGGCAGCTCGGGGCTAGGTCTAAGACAGCGTGGGTTCTCCTACCCAAGTTCCCAGTCATCAGCCAGGGAACAGGTACAGACAGGGCATAACTACAACAGGGTTCTTCCTTACATGCTGTTGCACTTCGGCACAGGCTTCTAACAACTTGAAGAAAGCTGAGCCTTGTCAGTAAGGACAGGGGCAATGGACAGTAGACCCTGGAAGGTCTAGAGCAGGGTCTCCCCAGCTTGGCACTAGGGTACTAAGTGTTGGAAGAGGCTGTCCCCGAAGTTCCACGTCAACAGCACATCCAGCCTCTACCCACTCCATGCCACTCTTCCCACCCGTGGAACCCAGTGTCCCCTGGTGGCCCTGGTCCACGATGCCAGAACAAGTTCCCAGTTAGCACACTGAGAGCAGCTCGGTGGCAAGGGGCAGACTCACTTCATCTCCAACCACACTCCACAGCTGAATGAGAGGAAGGCCGTTCGCACTGTAGCTTGTCACCTGGAGGGCACGGGCAGAGAAAACAGCTGAGGCTGCACTGTGCATGACAAGTTCTACAGAGGGCTGGGGTTACAGGAGTGTGCCGGGCCTGGCTTCTGAACTTCTTCAAGCTTGCCAGTCACTCCAGGCTCATGAGCACAGGAGTTTAAATGTGAGATCCCCAGGAGCCCGGACACTTGGTTGCACTAGGTAGGAGCCTCTACTGCCGGCCCCTGGCTGGTCTGCCAGCCTCCTGCCCAGCACGTACCTGGGCCAGCAAGGCTGTGTTGCCTGTCATCTCGCTCATGGCTGCGTCTGCCTCGGCTGAAAAGTGCTCGTCATCTTGAGGAGAAAAAAGGAAAGAGTGTTCAGATACCCGCTTGGGCCCAACAGTCTTGTCACCTGCAGGCTGCTCCAGATGCGGCAGACTTCAGGACTGGTCTAGGAGAGCCATCTTGCCAGCAGAGCCTATGCCTCTGTGACTTCCAGTGGGTGAACAGAGAAGCCCCGGCTGCACGCACACCCCAAGGCGCAGGGCAGACAGAAAAGCTGCCTTCGATACACGCGGGCCTCACTCCCACTTATCTGGGGGCCAGCTATGCTGAACAGGGGTGTGCACCTCCACCAAACCAGCAATGCCCCAGAAGACAGGAGGGCGTGTCCACTTTACAGGCAAAGGCTGATCCCCAGAGGCCAACGGGCTCCCACCATGGCACAGGCAGCATTCCAATCCAAATGGTAGGTCTGGTATAGGCAGCTGCCCTCTAACAGGCAGGACGCTGAGGTGCCTTCTACTGGGCTGGCTTATGAAAGTGATGTACAAGAACATGGCCAGGCAGGAAGTGACAGGGTGGGAGGCAGGAGCATGCAAGGTGTGGTGGAAGAATCTTGTGATAAAGGAGGGCCTATTGGTGGGTCTGGCCAGATTGCTTAGATGGACAGAATGGAGAAAGGCTGGCAAAAAAGGAGAGAGAGAAACAGAGAGTCTGCTAGTCTCCTGACAGGACGCTGGCTAGACTGTGATGTTTCTGTTTTACTCTTTTAGAAGAGAGTCTTGTTGTCTATGTAGCTCAGGCTGGCCTCAAACTCACGGCAATCCCCCTGCTTTGGCCTGAGTACTAGGATTACAAGTATGGGGCAGCATGGCTGCCTACACTGTAGTGTGTCTACACAGCACAGGATCTGAAGGGGCTGCATGGGAGGGAGGGAAGAAGGGAGGGTGACCATTAAACAGCCTTTTACCGACGGCGGCCAGAGCAGCTGTGAGCTGACCCCTTCCTGCATCAGCACACATGTGACTCTCACAGCGCCACCCCCTCATGCCAGAGGCCAGGCAGGCCGAGGAACGGCAGCACTCTCCCTCCAGCAATGCTTCCGGTCTCAGAAACACAGGTCAGCACAGTCCCCAGCGCGCTCTAAGGAGCGGTGACTGTACTGAGCAGCGTGCTGACCTCCGGCCTGGCTCTCTGGACCACATGCTGAAGTACCTCACTGGAGCCTCTCAAGCTGGCAGCTGGTAAGGTGCAAATCAGCAGATCCCAGATAAGGGCCACAGCAGTATTGGCTTCGTCTGGGGACTTGCTAGAAATCCAAGATCCTGGGCCTCAGTCTAGACCTACTCAACCAGAGGCTAACAGTGGCACCAACCATGCCGACCCAGGCTCCAGACAAGAAAGAGGAGGGATTCAAGAAAGCCCGGTGCCCAAGTGCCCAGCCCACAGTTAGAGGCTCTGCCTGGTACCTGACAGTGGGACCACACTGTCCAAAAGGACTTCTGCTCCTTGGAATGGCAGGGTCACAAAGTCAGACCTAGAAAGGCAAGAAAGGATGAGTTGAACAGAGACCACCAGTATGTGACTTGACCTTCTACTCAGCACAACCACCTACAAGGCAGGGCGACGTGCACACCTAACGCAGGGTACCAGCTCCAGGCCTGACTCACAGGGACTTCCTTCACCAAAATCACCACTGATGCCTGACACTTGGGGCTTCCCCCACAGACCGGCCTTCTAGTTCTGTGTAGCTGAGGCAGGCCATCGTGTTTCTTTACACCTGACTCTGCTAACACAAAGCTGGCAGCAGGGGGGAGATGCCAGCCCCACCTGAAGCTGGGTAGAACTGAGCCATGCTCCCCATGTCATGCAGCGGTGACTTGTGACTGGCCAAGAAATCCCACTCACCTAATTTGCCGGAGGACGTCGACTTTCACCCTCTTATATCCACCATAGTCCACGTAGCGAATCTCCACCTCATTGGTCTCCTCATAGGAGGCCACTACTTGGGCTCGCCACCAGGCCCCGTCCGCACCAGGGGCAGCGCAGATAACCGTTACTGCAGGGCGGGAGGACAAGTGTGTGGAACACGTCTGGCCTAGGGCAGGGCTGCGAGGGCCACCCTGGTCATTGCTCCCCACCTTCCCACATGGTCAGAGGCATGCATTTCCATGGGCAGCGGACAGGGACAATAGGAATCCTCCACAAAACCTCTCCCAGAGCTCAAGACGAACAAAGGAAAACCCAGAACGCGGGAAATCCAGCTTAACATAGTCCCAAAGCTGCCCAACCCAGAAGGGCCTTCAGTTTAGAGCCGTGACTCAGAAATCTGCTGCAGCCTGAAAGTAGCACATGGACCAAAAGAAGGCACATGAAACATAGAGCTCAGCAAACAGGGTGAGGGGCCTGCTGTCTGTGTGTCCGTGCACGCGTCGGGAGGGCAAGGGTGACCCTAGCTGCCATTCCTACGACACTGTGCCTTTTTGTTTATTGTTGTTTCTGAAATGATGGATGGCCAGTGAACCCTGGGATTCTGCCTCCCTAGTACTGGGATCACACGCATACACGCATATGCATGCACGCACGCACACACGCACGCACAGATATATCTTTTTAATAGGGGAAATCAAACTCATCCCGTGGAAAGCATTTCACTGAGTTACCTCCCCAGCCCCGGTGCCTAAGGAAAAGTCCCCAAGGAATCAAGAATTGCCAAACACAGCAGAGCTCAGTGGGCCAGTACCTAGAGTCTGGTCTACGCCAGTACCTAGAGTCTGGTCTACTCCAGTACCGAGAGTCTGGTCTAGGCCAGTACCTAGAGTCTGGTCTACTCCAGTACCTAGAGTCTGGTCTACTCCAGTACCTAGAGTCTGGTCTAGGCCAGTACCTAGAGTCTGTTCTACTCCAGTACCTAGAGTCTGGTCTAGGCCAGTACCTAGAGTCTGGTCTAGGCCAGTACCTAGAGTCTGGTCTACTCCAGTACCTAGAGTCTGGTCTACTCCAGTACCTAGAGTCTGGTCTACTCCAGTACCTAGAGTCTGGTCTAGGCCAGTACCTAGAGTCTGGTCTAGGCCAGTCCACAACCACTCTGATGGAAAGCCTGTCCAGAAGAACATCCTAAGTCTGTAGCTCACACCATCTAGCCTCTGCCTCAGGATGTAGTGTCCCCAGGCAGCCATCGAGCTGGGCAGCCACAGGAGGAGGGTCACAACAGCACCCCAGCACCTCCAGCAGCCGATTACACTGGTCCTGATCCAGACAGTGACGCCCTGGTGCAGCCACCCTTGGGCAGTGAAGAATCTGATGACAATTAAACCTCATTCTTCCAAAAGGGGGGCAAACAAAACTGCTACAGAGAACGTCAAAATTTTCTTCATGCCTCAAAGTCTGTGAGGAGACTGAGAAGAAGGTTCTGACATTTAGTCCTGTCCCCCCCACTGAGAAAGCAACAAAGGTAACGGGTTACCCAGTGTTGTCTGCTCCAGTCCCTCCGTTTCAGAGACGTTCCCTCACCTGTCATGTGGCGACATCAACCACCGCACAGGTGACAAGTACATACCCGAAGTGCTCTACATGACAGATTGCTATCACTCTACTGCCTGGTGGGTGAGCCTGGGTAGCACTGGGTATCACGCCACTTACAAGACACAAAGCCCAGGCTGGAGAGATGGCTCAGTGGTTAGGAGCACTGGCTGCTCTTGCAGAGGACCTGGGTTTGATTCCTAGTACCCACATGGTGGCTCACAACCATCCATAACTACAGTTCTAGGGGACCTGAAGCCCTCTTCTGATCTCCATGGGCACCATGCACACATGTGGTACACATACATACATGCAGGCAAAATACTTACATATAAAACAAAGAAATGTAATTTTTTTTTTTTTTTTTTTTTTTGGTTTTTGGAGACAGGGTTTCTCTGTGTAGCTTTGCGCCTTTCCTGGAACTCACTTGGCAGTCCAGGCTGGCCTCGAACTCACAGAGATCCACCTGCCTCTGCCTCCCGAGTGCTGGGATTAAAGGCGTGCGCCACCACCGCCCAGCAAAGAAATGTAATTTTAAAAAATTAAAAAGAAGATATAAAGTGTCAGGACTATGATCTGAGTCCCCCAGAAAAATGCCACTCCAATGCTACGGCTTTGGTCAGTGGAAACACTAGCTAGCCAGAAAGCTCAATCCAGCACGATTCTATGACAATGTAAGAACTCAGGGATGCTGTCATTCAAGGGAGTCCCAAACAGTTTTCTGGTCCAGACTGAGTGCGGGATGGGCAACCCAGCTGGCCTACATGTCTTGGCCTGACTGGAACCCAGAATGCTCCTTGATTCTCTAGGCAGCACTTACTTTCCACTGGGGTGGGCAAGGTGGGGATTCCAGGCTGAGAGTAACAGAGGTACATCTGCTGGTCCAGGCTGCGCAGCGCATGGAAGGTGGGGTGTGTGTGCTGCTGTACAAACAGGTGCCCTGCGTTGACCTGGTTGACCACAATGACTTCCACGGTGATACCATCGGGCAGCATGAGCTGGAGGAGGAAGAGGCAGCCAGTACTGTATCAGTTCTTCTCATGTTTGGGATTTGCCCAAGGCCCCAGGGCAAGTCTATGGACGGACACAACCATCAGTAACAATATGGCACCCAGATAGCAACGTTCTGGAGGCTGTTGGCTGTAATACCGAGACCTGCCATTAGGGGCAGCCTCACCTCAGGATCGGATAGGGAGACCCCCCTAGTCCAAACTAGGCAGCTGGAGGCCAACTGTATTTGTAGTGCTGGATCTGAAGATCCAGGGGTCCACAGCTGGGCAAGGGTCCATCCCCTGGAGCATGTCTGCCTTTCCTCCCCCTCACTTCTTTCGATGAGTCCGTAAGACTCAAGGAAGGTAAATATGGGGGGTGAGCAGCTTGCTCAGGACCTGCCTGAGCACACTGGGTGGGCAGCCTCAGACCCCTTCGGAGCTTACTGCCTGAAAGCACATCTCTGCCTCTGAAGAGCAAGCGGCAGCCTCAGTACAGGTCTGCTAAGGTCTACAGAGCTGATGTCCCATTTACTCTGTGCCTTCTACTTGACCCCTAGATCGTACTCCCTCCACCCTCACAGGTGTCCCCTCATCTCTTGGCTTTGGGTGGGGGGCCTGTATGTGTGCTCAGCTGCTAAGGCCTCAGGTGCAAGGTCCTAGAAGAGGTCACGGGGCTCTCTAAAAGGCTTGTGCTCCAGTACCATTTTCCCCTTAGCATTTTACCATGCTAAGTTATAGGTAGCAAAGCAGGGTTCTGCACCCTGGAGGATCTGGATTGCACCTTCAAGACTGGTGGCCCCAAGAACTTCCTTTGACTTCTATGGGTCCCCAGCCCTGCTGACTTCAAAGCACCTAGAGTCTCACTGAGCAAGCAGAACACAAGGGAAGGCAACCACCTATACTAGTTACTCCATTGTTTAAGAAGAGAGGCTACCACAAGGCCCCTGGGAAAATCGCTAATTCAGGCATAAGGCATGGAGTGGGGCCCAGCACACTCCCAAATGCCCACAGTGAAAGAAAGGAACACCCCGCCCACCCCCACTACCGCACAAGGATCTCTGGTGGGGGACCACAGCTGAAACACCTACTGTCCTAAGCCAAACCCAAAGAGGCAATGTCCCTGAAGCAGCTTGTCAGCCCAGCTGTGGAATGCAGTGAAGAGTCTGTGGCAACAGAACTCTATGCGTCTACTCCCAAGGACAAAAGGCCCAACTGAGGGTCCAAGGCATGCCTGCTCATTGCTCTGGAGACATGAGCTTCTCTTCTGCTAAATTCTAGGGCTTCCAGCCTGGGGACTCTGCATTTACCAACTACACTCCAGGCAGTTCTTGGGGAGATGGAAGAGGAGGGAATCCTTCACCAGGGCCACTATTCAGCTCAGCTGACTAGAAAGAATGTTAACGACCCATCTAAGTCTCACCAAAATCCTTCTCAGCAGATCCTACCCAAGGCCTCTGGTGCTGGGCAGTGACTCTAGGTACAGCCCCAGCTTTTTAGGAGCCCATACCCAGTCTCCTGGCTCAGTTCTCTTTAGGCAAATGCCTAGAAAAAAGAAAGCATGACCAAGTGGCAGGAATAGATAGTCCTCCCAGTGTGGGGTCAAGAGGCCCTGGCCCCTTGCCAGTGTCCATCCTGTCTTCAGAGAACATGCCGGTCGGCAACACCGTGGGCCAAAAGGCCCACGCACTAACAGCCTCTCTACTGGGATAAGTTTAGGGGAGGGGACAAGAAGTAGGATCCTGGCGAGCATGCTCACCCAAGACGTCATCGGCAGGGAAGGCAGTGCCAGCGAAGGCAGTGGTGGAGCATAGATATTGGTGAGGTTCAGTTCCTTAAACTTCTTCCCAATCAAGTTCAGAGCTTTGTCTACATGATGCTGAGAGCCTAAGGGCAAGGGACAGGACACACAGGCACTGTAAGAGAAAAGGAACAGCAAACACAGATCCACCCACGTGCCACTCCACAGGATTCTCACGGGCCAAACACTTGGCTTTGCTTTAGGAATCAAGTTTAAACCCACCCCCTTTGCCGACCTGACCCATGCTTTGAACACAAAGCAGCTGCCAGATGGGAAAGGTACGAATGGCTTTGGCCAGAAGGTACCTGTGCTGTGAGGAAAACGTGGGTGACAGACACTGTGCCCCAGTACCCTGGCCCTGTCTACTGAGCACCCATCCTTATCCTGGCCAGACAGAGGGGGTGCAGAAGGACAGGGTCCTGCAAACAAGCCCCTGAACTGGAGGAGCCTGAAGGGAAGACACCCAGGGTGCCCTCTACCGAGAAGTCTGCAGTGTCTGTTCAGAGGCTACCATTCCAAATGGACAACTGCAACCTGATGCTACTGCCTTACGCTTCAGGCGAGGGAGCTAAGCACAGGGCGGCACACCACTGACCTTCTATGTGGCAGATCTGGATGTTCTGGGTGTAAGGCAGGGTGGAGATGTAGATCTTGGCACCAGACGTCTGCTTCAGAAAACTCACGTACCGACCCTGCTTGCCAATCAGTCGACCCACTAAGTGCTTCCAGGGAGAGAGAGAGATGAGGGAAACGGGAAGCCAACTCCTTGCTCACTGCCCAAAGACCTAGGCTTGTCTGGTGTCAAGTCAAGCTCACGCTGTTGGTGCCAGCATTTATTTTTCAGGACTGTTCTAAGCACTTAGGTTCAGTCACAGAACCAACGGAATAGACAACTTGATACACATGAAGAGAAATGAGCCGGGACATGCTCTGGGACCCACCCAGACCACACAGCTGCTAAGCAGCTGAAGGGGTAGTCTGGCCCGGGACTCAGCGTCTCATCCCAACCATGTGGGCGAGACCCAGAACATTAAAGCAGTATCCCTCCTACACACACACGCGCGCGCACACACACACGTATCCCTCCTACACATGTGCACGCACACATACATGCATTCTCTCTCTCAAGTTTCACTGCTAGAAGGGTCAACTCCAATTTCTCATATCCCTGTCCCTTTAGTCCACTAGTAGCCACAGACAAAGAAACGGGTTGGACAATGAAAGCCTGAGGACACTCAGGTCCCCGTCCCGTCCCCGTATCCCCCCCCCCCCCCCGACAAGGGATAGCATGTACAAGGGCCTAGTGCACCAGAGTTCAAGGCAAACAGAAGACGCCAGACTTAAGCATGTAAGACAAGCTCCACAACAATTCTAAACGACCCCAGCCCTGGAGGGTGGCAAGGGACCTGGTCCCTACTCATCCAGAGCCTGACTCACCATGCCCTCTGTGACCACTGAGAGCAGAATTGCTAACAAGGTCACCGGAGAAGAAGAATACTACGGGAGCCAGCAGCCTGGGGTCAGCATAGGAGTCTTGACCCAAAGTTCAGACTGAGCCAGGTCTCCAGCTCAAGCATGGAGCCAAGTGCCCTGGGAGTAAGCAGTCTGCCAATTACTACTGAGCCCCAGTGATAAGCACTAATAAGTTAGGTTCTAACAGCAGGGGGCTAGAAACCACTCGGGCACTAGGGACCAGGGAAGCAGCAGACATTCAATGAATAATGCAGTTAAAACTGTAAAGACCGGCACGGGAAAATGAAATTGTTAAATATTTAGAAGTATTAATTAAAACACCACAATCTTGGCTTTAACAATCACACAGCGTGAGGTGAGAGGGATGAGCATGCTCACAGCTGCAGCGTGAGGTGAGAGGGATGAGCATGCTCACAGCTGCTCCCAGGCGGAGCTAGAGCTGCCCTGCCTTTGCTTCCGTTGTCTACGGCAGTTTAAGCTCTCCACAGTTGTCTAGGGCACTTTACAGCGCAGAGCTGGAATGGGGTCTGATGCCCAGTCCTCAGGCTGACGGTTGCTAGCTTTTCTAAGAAGATCTGAGCCGCAGCCCACACAGGGGAGCCTGGGGGACTAGCCAAGCATGTGGGTGAGGGAAGAATGAAGTCGGGTGGCCTGCCCCGCAGCTTCCCAGCCTGGCCCATCTAACTCACTGGCCTTCTTTAAACCTGGCATTAAGGGAACTTTGACTTCCCACAGAATCCGGCCTAAAGGAATGTCACCACCCTTACCTTTGGCACCTCAATCTCCCAGATGATGAGGTCAACCTTCTTAGGGTTGGAGCTTGCCTGGACATTCTCGAGGCTGTCGGGCTTCGTAAGCCCACAGCAGCTGTCCACTGAATCCATGCTGTTCCCGTCCGAACCTGCAGGGGAGGGAGCGGTGTATATAGACACAGACACAGACACAGACACAGACACAGACACAGACAGACACACACAGACAGACAGACAGACAGACACACACACACACACACACACACACAGCTCAGCTCTGACTATCACAGCTTCCCAAGTCCACAACACTGGAAGGCCCTGCACGCACACCCCTCTGCAAGCCTGGCAAACAGCACTCAGCTCACAGACGAGAAGGCTCAGGAAAACCCAATGAAGGGAGGCCTAGGGTACCCACACACCTAATTTTAGCCTGTCACTTAGCGGTCCTGCGTGCTTATTTGGCAGCCGTGACTAGCCACAGCTGCTGGGACAGACACACACGTAGTAAGCGAGGGAGAGACAGACTCTCCGCCCAGGGAGAGGCGGATGCAGGGTATGGTGGGGAGGGGAGCTAACAAGATGACCACAGTCCCAGGAGTGTCACAACCATCCTGCTCTCTTTCCAAATGTGCCAGCCTCCCAGACCAAGGGTCTCTAGTCTCCAAGGCCTCAGGCCCCAGGCTGGGGGCACGGGGAAGGGGTAAGTGGGCAGTCACAGTGATAGCCTACTGAGGGCCCCATTCTCAGTTCTAATCAGGGCCCGCTGGTCTTGGCCGGGTGTGGACAAAGGCTGGTGGGCTTCCTCCCTTCCCCACTGGGCTTGGCTTGTGAAGCTCTGATTATGGGGTGGCTCAAACAGCCCTCGGAAAGGGAGACAAACCAAGCTCATTATTCCAAGAGGACAGTGGGGGATGTGAGTCTGGCACCAACTTAGGCCGTTCAACTCTTCCCTAGGACACGACTAAAGAACCCCTGTAAAAAAGGAACAGGAGAAAAGGAAGACCAAACAAGCACCAGCGACCAGCCAGGGCAAGTGAAGAGACTCCGCTCTGGCTGAGATACCAACTTAATGGCCTGAACTGGATCACTCCTGAGAGCCAACTAATTAGGCTATTTTCCACCTGGTTTCCCCAAACTCAGGACATAACACTTTTCCAAGCAATCCATATCTGTCTGGATATAAAAGACTAAGGCCTAGTCGAACTCTCCACCCCTAGGTGAAGAGTCACCTCCAAAGTGGCGTCCCTCAACACTGGGCTTTAGGCAAAGACCCCACCCACCCACCTACGCACCCAAGAAAGTTGCTTGGCCAGCTTTCTGGAAGCAAATCAGGCTGGTTGGGGTTTGACTGCCACACCGCCCTGGCCTCCGTCCAAGAGAGCTGGACTGGCTAATACCTGCTAACATCTCAATGGATCCCAGGAGTAACTCAGAACCATACCAGGCCTTCAGCAGGCTGCATTCACTGACCAGTTTCCAGCTCCCTCAGCCAGGCAGTCCTGTTCCCGTCTCCCCTGAGCTTCAGCCTAGGGGAAGTGCCCAAAGTAGGGTCAAGGCTAACCTGAGAACACCAGTGCTGCTAGCCCACCTACTTAACCAGTTCCTATCCTCGGGCTATGACCAACGGGCCACCCTGAGCCTCCCACCCATTTATTATGGTCTCAGAAGCCGCAAGGCATCTGCACGGCTACTAACACTCTGTCCAGAGCTGGAACAGGCTGAGGGGTTCATTCGTTACAGTAACAGGCATCAGGCAAATGGAAACTCCTTTATTCTTGAGATGTTTTTTAAAAACCTTCCCTTTTGCCCATTTTAAGATGCAAATTTTTTTCTTAACATTTTAGCACTCCAGCATTAGGATGTAGCTTATAGTATCTGGCTTCCCACAGTTACAATGGGCAGAATTTGCTTTCTTTTAGACGTATGTAAAATCATCATGGTCTCGATCAACAGTATCTTAGGGTGACAAAATCCAAGGTGTGGTGCCCCCCAGATTCTAATGAAAGTAGTAAAACACCCGAGAAAAATGCCCAAACTTCCTTGGATGAAACTGAATGGTTGGGAATGCTCCAGGACAAACAAGCCATGAGCCCCTTGGAAGTCACTGGGAGATAATCAATACCCCTGGGGGCTGTAGAGCAGGGTCAGGAGCTGCTGACCTGTAAGTTAGCGGTCTCAACTGTCTACGCTGGGCTCAGCACTCGAAAAACCCAGTGCACCCTTCGTTACCAAAGTGCCCTCTTTCCCAGGGTGGAGCTGCAACTGCACAGAGAAAGGATGGCTGAGACTCTGCAGAGGAGGAGGGCACAGCAACAACCACAGCAGCGCGCCTCCCGCCAGTGCTCGGAGCTGCGGTGCTCGGAGCTGCGGTGCTCGGAGCTGCGGTGCTCAGAGCTGCGGTGCTCGGAGCTGCAGTGCTCGGAGCTAGTGCTCGGAGCTGCGGCTGTCCTGGGGAACTTACCCTGCCAGGGCTTCTGGAGGAGAGCAGGTGGAGACACGGAACAAGCATGTGAGTAAAGGAAGTCAATCATGAAGAGATGCTCACCCGTCCCCTGGCACTTGGGAGGTACCATCAAGGGGACCTCATCCCCAAAGGCCCACTGAAGAGTGGGTGTCCAAAAGAGAAGACGACACTAAGGCTGACTGGTGGACCCCACAGTCCTGGTCCCTTCTAAAGGGTGGGGGTTTCCCTGGCTAGCGAACCCATGGACAGCTCTCATAGCCTTGGGGTCTCGTGGTCACCTGGCTTCTTGGGTACCCACCAGCTACCTGAGGTGCCTAGTTGTACAGGAGGCTAGACAGCAGAGTTGGGGATGGACAGCATCGTTCTGTGGCACCAGTGGCAGAAGGAAGGGTGGCCAGTAGCTTTTGCCTAGCAAATAATGGGAGCCCTCCCAGATTCACCAAGAAAGCACCAAGACCCTCCTACCTCCTGACTGATCTGCTTCTGCATCCATGGTCCATCCATCCTCAGTCCCCAAGTCTGAGGACTCCTCCTTCAGCACCCCATTGCTGAAGGGCTCAGTACTGTCTGGCAGTGGTGGGGTGATACCTTTGCCTCCAGGGCTTGAGATGGTCTCTGTGCAAGAGTCTTCAAGCCCCGAAGTACTCAAAGAATCCGAGCACGGCCCCGAGGAGGTCACTGAAAGGACACTCTGCCTGTTGTTGGACATACAGGTGACGAAAGTGTCATCTCCTCCCGGGGAACTTGCCCCATCCAGAGACTGTCTCAGGCGGGTAACTGGTGATGGGCAGGGGGCCAGGGAGATGTGGTGTGCAGAGATCTTTGGCTTCTGGTCCGTGGTGGGGCTTGGCAGAGGGCTGCTAAGACAGCTCACGTAGGTCTTTGGTGGCAGGGCTTCTGCTAATGGGCTGGCAGTGGCACCTGCTGTAGTGGAAACAGGATCTGGGGGGTCTTGTCCCAGGCCAGTTTCCTGGATGGCTGGGACACAGGTCTCCTTCAGTTCCTGGGGCCGAGCGGCCGAGGTGGGATGCACTTGTGCCATAGTCTTGCCCATCGTGGTGGCCCGCATCTCTGCAGTCGCTTCCAAGATCACCTGGGAGATAATCTGGAAAGCAGCCTGTTCAATCTCATCATTTTTAGGCAAGGTCTCCTCTTTGACCTGTTCTCTAGGCAGGTCTCTGTCCCAAGTATCACTACCTCTGACCTGGGGTTCCAACGCGTGCTCATCCTTAACCAGCTCTGAGCGAACTGGCTCCACAAAGCTACTTGGCAACTTCCCGACAACACGTTCTTCTTTCTTCTTTGCAAGCTCAGCCACCTGTGGGGAGCCACTGCTCACCTCCTCTCCCCCACCTCCCCAGGGGGCCAGGCTTGGAATCTCACTTTTCTCTACTTCTGAGCCACACTCCCGGGACAACAGGCCTTCCTCGGGTACATTTTCCCCCAACACAGCATCTCCATTCCCCTCGACTCCGCCTGTCTCTCTTGCTCTCTCTCCAGAGGCTGCACACTGGCCGAGCCAGCCCCTTCCAGGTGTTTTGCCCAATGCAAACTCCTGCTTACACCCTTCCACTGCTTCAAAGGGGAAGGGCACATCTTTTGGGAGAAGGGGGCATCCAAGAGGAATAGATTTGGCTTCGTCCCCCATCAGGGAGAGTTCCACCTTTGAACTGTCATCTCTACACGACTGCGACCTTGTGTCTATGTTGCTGGGGAGGCTGCCTGAGGACTCCGATCTCCGGCGAACCTGACGTGGCCTTGGCAAGGCTGGGGGTTCTGTTGAAGACTTGCCCAGAGAGAGCTGTTCCATTTCTGGAGGCTGTGTAACAGTGAGGGGCACAGATAGGACTTTAGGACAGGCCTCTTCACTGGGGAGTCGGTCCTTGATGGCAGGGCCAACCTTCAGTGTCTCCACCTGCTTATCATTGCTGCTGAGTCGATCTTTTTTACGAGAGAAAAACCACCACCAGCCAAGGAGCGCTAGCATTCCAGGCAATGCCAAGGGGAAGAGTGAACGGAACTGGATTGCCATCTTGGAGGCGAGGTGAAGAAGCTATGCCTAGGGAGAGTGAGGAGAGGAAAAGAGGTGTTACAGACGCCAATTAAGCAGTACAGGAGGCTGGGCATGGTGGTGCACCCCTTTAATCCCAGCACTTGGAAAGCAGCAGCAGTCAGATCTCTGTGGATTCAAGGCCAGCCTGGTCTACATAGTGAGTTCCAGATGAGCCACAGCTACATAGTAAGATTCTGTTTCAAAAAACAAAAATGTTCCGGTGGAATCTCCGCCTCAGCTCCGGCACCCATCTACCCAGAGTCTGGAATGTTCTGGTGGACGCTCCACCTCAGTAACCTCCCCCATCCATATACCCAAAGATTCTGGAATGTTCTGGTGGAAGCTCCACCTCAGCACCCTCCCCCATCTCTCCCCAAACCCTGCCTCATCTCAGAAAGCCCACCAAACACAGCTCCCCGAGAGATGCTCAGAATCACTCCCACAGGGTAGTAAACTGCCGCCCCGGAAAACAGACACGTGGTTTTTGGTCTCTCTTCCCATCTCCTCTCTGAGGGGCCGGAAAATCATCTGGGAGCATTTTACTCATTAAACCTGAGCTTTTTCTAATTTGATTTGATTTGATTTGGTCTGATTTGGATTGCTGCATTGGCATAGAGGCTTATTGGGGTGCAGAAATTTTTCAAAAGCAAACAAACAAAACCCACTAGGGTGTGGGTACTGTACACTTGCAACCAACCGACGGCACGCTGACGCAGTACTTACCGCTGCACACAGGTTTGTGTTTGGTTGCAGAGACAATGTAAATGCCTCAGCCCCTGGCTGGCTCTAATGTTCAGCAGAGGCTGGGAACGCTAGTCTAGGACTATTGTTTCTTCAAGTGTGGTCTACAGACCAGTCGCTACCCACACCCCAGAACCTGCTAGAAGTGCAGTCCTACTGAACCACATCTGTACTTTAACAAGATCTAGGCACACTCCGGTTAGGAGGAATGCTTGAGACTAGGAGAGCTAGCTACCCCCAAACGAAGGGGATGATGGGAGTGCAGGGGAAGAGGTCATTGCAGAAATCCCTTCCAGCTGTAAAGATGGACCTCTAAAGGCAAAGCAAGGAGACTGCAAAATGCAGAGTAGGGCTGAGCAGTGGCCAGGGCTCAGGTGACTTGCAAACATCCCTCTGTGTGGAAAACTTCCATGACGGTACCTGTGGCTTCAGATTCAAACAGCTCAATCTTGTATCATTTCATCCTCAACCTACCCATCCATCCTCGTTTGGAACCTATCACTACCTGAGTGACTAAATAACTCAGTGTAATGCAGCTGAGGAATGGGAACCTACTTCCATCTTACTTGCCAGTTGATCCATGAGGGAAGATGTGCGGTGTGAGCCAAGAAAACGGGAAGTTCATACTACCTTTTCAGAGCGTTAGTAACAGCCGGGGAAACATAAGCATACCCACCCTATGATCCACCTACAAACAATATAAAGCAAACATGCCTGTGAACAGGCAGAGGCCCTTGAGAACCCCCACCAAAGTTACTGGTGGAGACAAAGTTGGAGCCAGCCCTTTTCAGAGCAATGACTGCTAAATACACAGTAGGGTCAGTCCTCAGTGGCTGTACCAGTGTTACAGAAATTGTGCACGGACAGAAAACACTGCAATGAAGAAAACTGACTCAGACTAAGGCTTCAGCTGGAGGAGAAGGGCAGTTTCTGCAAACTGATTTTGCACAATGCAACTGTGAGAGCCACCATGTGGTTGCTGGGAGTTGAACTCAGGACCTCTGGAAGAACAGTCAGTGCTCTTAACCACTGAGCCATCTCTCCAGCTCGAGCACAATGCAACTGTGAACTCATTACTAGTGTGGTCTTTTTAGAAGATTTGCTACAACTTCTATCTACAAACAGAAAGCACTCTATATTCATGGTTTTCCAACTTGGATCCACATATTGTTGAGTTTCAAACCTGGGACAAAGGCTGAGTGCCCATTAAACATATCAAAGCAGACCTGGCCGCCAGGTTCTCGCAGCATCCCTCAGTGCTTACCTGTTACAGTGTATGGATGGCACAGCACACCCAGTACCCTGAACTCTCCAGTCCAGGGGCTGGGCTGCCCTTCCCCCAGAGGCTCTTCCCTATATAATCCAGACATTTTGGTTACCCTCCCCTCCTGTATCTTTGGTCTCCTGGCTGCTGCATCTAGTTCCCCTCTCCTCCCACATAGCCCAGCCCAGTCATGTCCACCCTGGACTCTTTAGATGTCCCTGCCTCTACCGACACTTTCCCTTTTATCTACAACAAACTTTCTCCACCACCACACCTAGGAACAAGTCTTTGTATTCCTTTTCATTCACATATATCACTGAGGAAGCTTTTTAAAGATTTATGTGTTTTAAGTGTTTTGCCTGTATGTATGTATGTATGTATGTATGTATGTATGTATGTATGTATGTGTGCCTGATGCTCTCGGAGGTCAGAAGAGGGCATCAGATCCCTTGGAACTGGACTCATGGGTGGTTGTGAGCCACCTGTGGGTGCTAGGAACCAAGCTCAGGCCCCTACAAGAGCAGCAAGTGCTCTTGAGCATTGAGCCATCTTTCCAGTTCCCTCACAGAGGAAGTTTTTACTTTACTGGCAACCCAGGATGGCTTCGGACTTTCAATTCTTCAGCTTAAGACTCTCAACTACTATGATTATCACTGGGGTTACAAGTGTGAGCCACCACACCCAGATGCAAGGAAGCTTTCTAGAGCCTGAGGCCAAGGTGGCACCCAAACTAATCAAATCAGAATCTGAGGGGGAAGATTCAATACCAGGTTTGTCTGGTTTTAAACCCACGTGATCCTAGTATTTAGTCAGGTTTGAGAATCATTGTAACATCTTCCACACACTCAAAAACCAGCAGCAAAGTGAGGTTCCCTGGATCCACGCTCAGTGTCATTCATATAAAGGAATAAAAGTAACAAGAGTGTTAGGACTGAAATGGTGTACTTGGAACAGCCTAGAGCCAGGAAAGCACATGCTGACAGGAAGTGGCGCTGGAATCTGAACACAGCCATACCTTTCTATGTCTCACTCCTTGCTAACTAGGAAATCCCTTCCCAGCAGGACTCACATTTGTAATTCCTACAGAATTCTAGAAGTTCTCTGGCCTCAGGAGACTCGGTGGAATGGGAAAGACACTCAGAGAGCAGCTATCCCTCTAACACAGAGAAAGCCAAGACCAAAGTCATGATGTGTGTGTGATGGTACCTAAGACAGAAATGGCTTCCAGTCCAGTTGGGAGGAGCTCTGCCCCCTTTGAAACTAAACTGATGCCCACAGTCCCACCCTCTACCTCAGTTATAGGTCACCCCACTCTTATCTCCTCAAACCCCAGAAGCTAGCTACACCACAATAAGGAAAGGCCCAACAGCATGCCTTCCAATCTAGCTTTAGTCCGGCACCTGGCTGATCCACACACTGCCCAAGGCCCAGGCCAGTCATGGCAATGGCTTCCTTCATCACTTCACTAGCTGTCCCTAATCCTAGCTCAGACAGAATGCCCAGGACCAGCACCTTCCTGCTGCTCTGAGCTTATCACTACCACTGCCTACCTAAGGCTCCCTCCCTGCTGGACAGAGATTGAGGCTCCAAGCCTCAACCCTACCCAGTAGAGAAGTCTGCTGTGCGACTTCAGCTGGAAGTACAGCCCAGGAAACCAGTTGTGGTGACATTTCCCATCCAGGCTCCCTCTCTTGTGCCAGCCAGCCTCCTAGGTGGTACTGAACACTGCCAATAAAATAGAAGAGATTCACAACACCCACCGTTCCATAGCCCATCTGGGCTGGGGCCAGAGACACCCTGCTGGGCGAGGGGGGTTGAGTGCTCAGGACAAAGTCCCTCTCTCCAGAGCTGTTTCCAGGCAAAGACCAAAGATGTGTGAGGGAGTTCCCTCAAGAGCCCTGTAGAGAGCAGGGTTTATTTGTCTCCTGCTTCCAAGACAGTGGGTGGGACAGCAGCTATTCTCTACAAGAATAAAGGCCCTGGGATCAGGAGCTACACACCCAAAGGCTTTGAATGCAACCTACCAAACCTAGCTCTCTTTTCAAATGTCTGGTACCAGGAGGCACCCACAGGGGGCTCTCCAAGGCAACTGATGCCCCTCCACCAACTCCACTTCCTACCAATCAAGAAAATAGGCCCTCTTCCTCACTACAAGCCAGTCTCATGTCAGTCAAACAGCCTTCTTGGGAATTTTTAAGAAGCCACTCCCCACCCCCACCCCCAATTTACATGGTCTGACAAGTCTGTAAGGGGTGACACATTAAAAAAAAAAAAAAGAGGTGACAAGATGTGCCAACCTTCCCTGACAGTCCAAGCAGAACTGCTGTGCATGAACCTGCATGCATGTGTACATACACATACACACATACTTGTACACACACACACACATACACACCCTTCAGCCTCACAAGGCTTCCCACCACCTTCCTTCCCTAACAAAGCTTGTTAGTTGCTCTTTGTCCCAGGCATTTGGGTTTGGGTTTTGGTGTTTAGAGACAGGGTTTCTCTGTGTAGCCCTGGCTGTCCTGGAACTTACTTTGTAGGCCTCAAACTCACAAAAAAATCTGCTTGCCTCTGCCTCCTGAGTGCTGGGATGAAGGATGGGCAGCACTATTACCAGCTGACTTCTGGGGTTTATTTATTTATTTTTTTGGTTTCTCTGTGTTGTTTTGGAGCCTGTCCTGAATCTCGCTCTGTAGACCAGGCTGACCTCAAACAGAGATCCGACTGGCCCTGCCTCCCGAGTGCTGGGATTAAAGGCGTGTGCCACCACTGCCAGGCTGGCATTTGGTTTTTAAAGTTGAACTTCCCAAGATATAAGGGGACTGAACACAGCATGTCCCAAAGCCCTCACGCTCTGCACTCAGAAGCGAACAGGAGGCTGCCAAGGCCACCTTCTCCCCCCAGGAGGCAGGCTGCCTGCAGTCAGGAAAGCCTCCCACAAGGATGCTCCCAGCCCTGCCCTAGGCTGGTGAGTGAGGAGGACACTCAGCTATTTTGA